TCTCTACATTTCTTTTTGTCTTTTAGTCAGCTACTTTTGGCTGTCACTCACCAATCAATGGCAAGTGGACTAATACTTTGGATTTCTTTAAGTCTAACAGTGACAACTTCTGTCAAATCACATCAAAGCCTCTTAGCAACTTTTTTGGGTTTACTTGTATTTTCAGCAACCCACTCACCAAAACCAATGGCAAGTGGGTACTTCAAATTGACTGCTAGTCCACTCAACGACCTCCATTCTTTATAAATTGAAGGAGAAATCATCAGCAAAAGACACACAACTCAACCAGCAAAAACCAGACTCAACGTCTATAAACCCAGCTCAAAAGCTTGAAACAGCCTTCCTTTTTCATTCTCTGAATTTCCCAGTTGACAACTCCTGAGGAATTTTCTTTATTTTGCTCTGCCAACTCTTGGTATGATATTTCCTTATACAAGATTGAATAGAGAAATCTTCAATCTCCATTTTAATTTTATGTACCAGGTCTGAATAGAGAAATCTTCAGGCCGTGTTGTTTATGTATTTCCTTTCTCTTTCAAGTTGTCTAAAACTTCACTTTCAAGTTGTCTAAAACTTCTGTAATTTCCATTACCGTTCAATTTCAACTTCTGTCAGTTATCATTTTCGCACTAGATGAATATTGAAGTCCTCTTAATTGGGGCATAGAAAAGAACCTTGTATTGGGCCAGTTCCCCACCCAATCCACAATCGATTGATTAAAGTCAGTATCGGTGCGCATTTTCCAGTCTTACCATTTTCAGTCTGTTGGAGTTTTTCGCTGCTAACAGTGGCACGCCTTCGCAATCGCAACAAGCGAACTCCACGGCCAAACACCATGCAAATGGCCGGCGGGTCCTTTTCGGGGTAAACAGAAACAAGTCCATTTTTTTTTTTAAAGCAATGCATGATATCCAAACCTGAGCAGGGGATATTGCGAACGCATTAAGGTCAGGATCAATGTAATAGCAATTCACATGTATATCACCTCCCTGTTTCAAAATTCAAAGGAAACAACAATTTTCTTACTATCTATTTCCACTATTTTCTCGGAATACAAACGGAAATTGAACCACGTGTAGCTCTATAGTGAAGAAAAGCTTTACCTGAATGTGATCAAGAACTGATCGAGTTGAGTTGAGAGAAATTCCACGCTCCGCCGAGGGACCTCCACAAATTAACCCCACTCTCAGAACCCTAACTCTCTCCTTCTCTTCTCTCTCAATAAGTCGGAGGCGCGTGGGACCCCGATGCTCCTCTACTGCGCCGGCGAAGCACAACTTCTCAAGCTCTGCTTCAATCGCAACAAGCTGAAGTTCTGCGCGCACAGAAGCGGTTCCGGAGCGGCATCGTTACGTTTGGCGCGAAGTAAAGCAAAGCTGGAGCAGCCAAATGCGATCGCTGCCATCGGAAAATGATCGTCGGGACTCTAGTGAGAGAGAGTGAGCAGGTAGTGAAAACATTAAATTTTTCTCAATTTATTTTCAAATTTTAATGTTTAAAATTCGTTTCAGACGGCAGCAAATGCCAAATTTTGGAGGGAGTGCGTCTTGTTCATTGGCCGTTTGGTGCTGTTGAAAAAAAATAATTAAAAAAATGTTATTAGCGTGCACTTGTTTAGCCTTAACAATATAACTACGGCCAATTATTTTTTCGATCATTATTTTTCTGATTAATTTTATAAAGATAATTTTGTTTTCTAGCTACAATTATCACCTACTTTCTCTTATTATTCATTTAATTGTCTATTTATAATCTAATTATTCCACTCCCACAAGAAAAGTCCAAGAGTGGTGGAGTGAGGAGGATTTAGCTAATGGATATGATAGTGAATCCAAAAAAGTTATTGGTTGAAGTTAAAGTTAAATAAAACCAGAGGGTTAGTTGGAATAATCAAGCACAGTTTGCTCTTATATGGTCTTAGATTCGAAACCTCCAAAGATACCTACCGTAGCTATTCGATAGTGTTTCTTGCCTCCCAAAAATTGTATAGCATGCTATTTGGGTATATATATAAAAAAAAGTTATAGTTAAATAAAACATGCTCTGGAAAGGTTAAAAGAAGCCAAAGGAAACATGCTATTTTCTAAAAGTTAACCAAGAGAAAAAAGTTTGACCAAAAAAAGAAGAAAATAGAGTAACACAGCATAGCCCAAGCCCTAAAAAGTTGGCCCTAACTTTTCTTTAGGCTTAATCAGATTTTTATGAGACTAGTTTTCTTCACTTTACCCACCAACTTTCTGGATCTCAACATCAATAAATGATTGGCAGAGATCAGGTTTGGTGTTTCTTTTACGAAAGATTGGCCCAGTTTAACAGAGCTAGGGATCTGGGATTGAGGAAGATACATGCCTGTGTTTGGACCGAGTTAGTTGTTTTATTTGTGCTCGGGTCGTGGCCGGGTGCCATCTCGCTTGACCACTTTTTCGGCTTTGGACTGGGTAACAATACCATGCACGTAGCTCTAGTTAAAACCATTAATTTTACCTGAGAATCAATGTCCGCCATCCAAACTGTGGGCCAAGTCACAGGTGCATCTGTACCTTATATTATGCTTTTTTAGTAGTGACCTATGAATAAACTCATGTAAATGAACGAATAGTATTTGGGTGAAGTCATTGTGCAACAAAATGCTAGGACACAATTAGGGGTGGGCATTCAAACTGAAAAACCGAAAAACCGAGCTGAATTGGACCCGAAAAAAATTGAGTTGACCAAAAATTGGGTTGAGTTGACCAAAAACCAAACCGGCCGGTTCCAATTCTGATTTGACATCTCTAAAAACCAGACCGAAATAAAATATAAAATAAAAATTACATATATTTTGATGGCCCAACTACTACGCCCAGAATTTTTCTCACTTCCCAAACCCAACTACCAACATCTAACCTTACCCAAGCCCAGCAACAAAAGCCCATCAACCAACACCTAACCCTAAAAACCGCTTTTTCTTTCCTTCCTCTCTCGTCTCTCCCTTATCTTTAATTTTCCTCAATCCGCCGCTAGCTTCTCCCTTTCATTCTCTCTCTCTCTCTTGTTCTTCTTGTTCTTCTTCTTCTTTCTCTCTCTCTCTTCTTCTTCCTCTTTCTGATTCCAATTTTCTCTCTCCTATTTGCATCTCCTTCTTTGTTTTTCACATTTTTCCCCTCATTTTCTCCACTGTTTTTTTGGGTTTTTATTAGTTTATTTTTTTTCTCTCCCCTTTTTCTCCCCTATTCCCCTAAATTTTCATTGCTGTGGATTTTCTTTTCTACTTTATGTCTCCACACTTTGTTTGGGTTTTTTTATATTGCTTTTAAGTGTATATGCCGAATTTCTTTTGTGGGTTTAATTAGATTCATGTTTGTTTATGATTTTTGATTTAGATTCATATATAAGTATAAATGAAATATTTATTATTTCTTTTGGGGCAGCTCTTGAATTTGGAAAACTTAGCCCCTGAATTTGAGACTGAGGTTGTTTTTCACCAAGAATTCATCAAGGTCAAATATTTAACTCTTCATTTTTGTAATGTAATCGAATGTTGTAATTTTAATTTTTCACCAAGAATTCTCTTTTTCTACATGCAGGGGCTGGGAGAGCTTAATAGAGAAGGTTTGAAGAAGACGCCTCTTTGTGTTGCCAAGGGGCCTCCGAGAAAGAACAAGGGGAAGATGAGCATTTTTGTTTGTTTTTGTTTTCACTGGAAGATGGAGTAGTTTGAATGTTATTTCTATAATTTTTTTAGTAATTTTGTTTTGTTATTGGCTTGTAATTTTAAATTTAATGTTTGCTAGATTCAGTTTGGGATGATTGGATGGGAATTGGGCTAATTGTGCATTTGTAGGCCCAATTTTTTAAAAATCTTCAGTTGGGCTTAAATCTCTAAAAACTTATAATGGAAAAGATCAATTGGGCTCAAGAGCCGGTCCAAACTGGATATAAACCGGTCTGGGTTGGTGCGGTTCTCTTAGGTGTTTAAGTGAAAAACCGAATAAGATAGGACCAAACTAGATGAATAATATCGATTTCGGTTTCGAGTTTAGAGGAGAATTGGGTCGAATCGGATCGTGCTCACCCCTATACACAATAATGACATGTTTACTAATCCGTAATTGGATAATTGAAATGAAGAGGAGTTGGATTGAGGACAATTTTATTCCGAATTTCTATTGAAGTTTACTATATTATATGCATTTAGGGGAGTTAGATTATGGATTTACTAAAACATATGGAATTGGGGTAGGAGTGATGCTAATTACTAAAATGTCCTCGTTGTTGAGTTAAAGTAGATGATAAATTTCAAAATTTCAAATTTTCAAAATCATGTGAAGATATAATGGGTAAAAATAATCAATTCCTAATGGATTAATTCTCCAAGAATTAGAATACCACCTCTTACCCAAGAATTGAATTCCTCAAAAATCAGGAATTCAATTCCTAATTTTGTGTGGACCCCACTTACGTTTCAATTCCTTAATATGCAGTAAGCACAGGAATCCTCCATAGGTGAAATTTAATTCATGATTAGTAAATTGATCAGTTCATAATAATTGTATATCATTTTGTACCCTTGTAACTTATGTTTTCATTATATTTTTGAGTTAAACTTGTGCTTTTAATCTATTTTTGTTTATCATTCAGTTATTTGAGCCTTATGTAGCAATGGTGACTTTGAATAGGAAAAGATGCAAAAAACGTGCAGACTGAGGTAGCAATTCGTTTCGGCCTCAACATCTTCATCCAAGTTTGGATTAGCCCAAATGACATGTGGTTGGAAAATTAACATTCTGAACTTCAAAATGGATGGCGCAAAGTCATTTATTGATTAAGGCAAGCTCAATTCTAGAACCCATGAAGTTACTAGTCATGTTGACCTAAGGATGATGAGCTGATTGTTGCTTGGTCATTGTTGAGGCCCAAAAATCCAAGTCTAGGCTCGTGCTTAATTCTAGCCCAACACAATATTTAACCGAGAGAGAAGCCCAACTGGGATATATGAGAATTTATCAAACGCGCCTGAGCAAGTTGTGGGTCACGTGCCACGCCAAGCAAACACACAAACCTGCCACGCAGAGGGGTCAAAACGTGCTAGTAAAATGTGCCGACCTCATAACCCCATACTTACTGACCTGTTAAGTGCTATTTGGCCCAGTCGCATCTTATTACCCCACCATGGAACTCAAGCATAAACATGCCAAATAAACATGCGACACCAAGCAAAAGAAGCACTATTCTAATACCAAGCCGCACTACAGGCTTAAGTGGGCCCAAGCCACATGAATAACCGGGGCTTGCTGAGAAGGTTGTGGTATGGATGGGTACGAGCACTCACGAGGCCCATTGAGGGTTCAAGGAATGGAAGTTTTGGGCTACTTAGGAGTACCAAAACTCAAGCCCATATCTTGGGCCCAAGCACATGGGTAAGCAATAGAGAGAGAAGATGGTTCAAAGCCTTGATAAAACATCCTATGACCTGCAACACTTAGAGAAACCCATAGCAGCTAAGACATTCCAGCACCATGTCAAAAATAAAGCAAGCCCACTACTTCTAGCAGCTTGATGAAATCAAACTCATAGGCCTGCTGGAAATAAGACGTCTAAGATCCAATACCTTAGAAGAAAGCCCAGCCCAGTGTCTAATAAAATATCTAGCATCATGTTCAACCATTGTCAAAGCTTCATTACATAACTAAATAGAGGCCATCGCAAAAACCAAAGGAAATCCATGTGTGCAGGAGCAATACTCACTAGGTAAACATCTCATCCATTCACCTTTTCTTTGCAAGCTCTAAGTAGAAAACCAAGAAGAAAAGTAGGTGGCGCCTCATTCATATGAGGAAGTCCAGCTATATTAGGATCTTGGAATCCCAAAGAGCTTGGGGCCTATGCACTTATGCTGGGGAAATTTCACCAAAAAAGAGTGAATGGAAGAAAGTGAAGGAAAAGGGAGAGGGAGTCTTGATAAAATTAAAGGTCCCAGCACTTATAAAAAGAGGGCTTCTTCTGCCCAGAAAAATCGATCATCCAGAGCGTGACCAAGCTTTTGTCAAGCGACTGGGAATTTACTTAAGGCACCTTATCCCCTACTTCCATCCCTTCTTCTCTTCTTTAGGCAGAAATCCTCCTAATTCTTTTCCTCCCTACACTGAACCTTTATTTTTTCTGTGGGAAACTTAAGCTTTCGTCTCTCTCAATTGCTAAACTCGTGAAAGCTTAGCTCCCATGCCACAAGCCCTAGTCTCCAACAAAACCACCATTTGTTGGAATTGCTTACTTTACTTTTATTTCTTTTTATATTACTCAATTTACTTAAGTTTACAATGTAAATAAGGAAGTACCCCCCATTTGGATTCAAATAAAAATACTAGAAAATCAAATTCCCACCAAATCAAAATATGAAAATTCGATTTTAGTGCAAAATACGATTTAGGCTAAAAATGATGGCTCATTAAGTCAATATATACTTCATACTAAAATCCCATAAAATCAAGTTTTCTTATTTGATGTGTAAGGAACAAAAGCCGCCAAAAATTATCTTGAGAAAATGATTATTCCGAAAAATCATTTTTCATACTTAGTCAATATTGCACCTCCGCTAAAAAATTTCTAGGTCCGCCAGTGCTCTCGCTTTAAATTTTGTTTTAGACTTAACTTCCTACTTTCTTGAATTCGCTAATCTAAGTACATAACTAAGTTTAACTTCTCAGTCCTCGTGGATACGACTTCGTACTTGTCTTGCTATACTAATAATTGGCCCGTACAATTGCGAGTTAACATAATAACATAAACAAACCATTATTAGAGAAAATTTATGGTAGAAATAGTAATGGAAAGTTACGTTGGGCAAACTTAAAATTGAAGCATGCACTCTTTCTTTCAAGGCTTATTTGTTGAAATGCCCTTTGTGGTTTCCAAATAGTCTTAGCTTGCCCTAGCATTAGAAATGACTCAATTTTCCCCGTGAACTTCCATTCCGTGACCAAGGTTGCCCTATCCCATGACCAAGATTTCAGATAAAAATCATTAAATAAGCTGAAGTGACATGGGTATTTTGGTGAATTTAACTATTAAAAATTAAAAAATTCAAATTAAATATAAAAAATGCTTGAAATTATTTAAAATATGTATAAAAAAAAATAAAGATAAAAATGTCTCCTCTGTTTTTTTTTCTTCGTAATCGTCAGTCCCCACCACCTTCTCCCTCATCTCAAAATTCACAAACAAAATCACTAAATTGACTTTAGATTTCGCCTTTGTGGCAGTCTAGATCTCCTTCGGTGGGTGCCAAAGAAAGGAGAAATTATAGAATGATACTGTATCACCACGTCAGCTGGTGATACTCCCACTCAAAATCTGCCACATGTACTTTTTAAAGCAAAATTAAAATATATTTTACTGCTGGACTTTGGCTACCAACTTTACTCTTCAACTTTAATCACCCAAACTCCTTCCCACCGTCTTCCCTGTCCACCGTCTTCTTCCCTGCGCTATGCCTCCCATCTGCGACACCACACGTCTTCCCTTCTCCCTCGCCACCTACCTCAGGCTTCACCGTCTTCATAGTTAATGAATCTAAAGAACTTCTATTGTCAAAGGACTAAAAACCCATAAACAAAATTCGGTCAAACTCTACTATTTTATCTCTGGAGACACCCTTGAAGCTAAAGAAGATGGGTAATCTCTGAAAATTTCACTTTTTACTCTTCTAAAAAGACCTCTCGAATGAAAGCTAATAATTAAGTGCTATTTGGCCCAGTCGCATCTTATTACCCCACCATGGAACTCAAGCATAAACATGCCAAATAAACATGCGACACCAAGCAAAAGAAGCACTATTCTAATACCAAGCCGCACTACAGGCTTAAGTGGGCCCAAGCCACATGAATAACCGGAGCTTGCTGAGAAGGTTGTGGTATGGATGGGTACGAGCACTCACGAGGCCCATTGAGGGTTCAAGGAATGGAAGTTTTGGGCTACTTAGGAGTACCAAAACTCAAGCCCATCTCTTGGGCCCAAGCACATGGGTAAGCAATAGAGAGAGAAGATGGTTCAAAGCCTTGATAAAACATCCTATGACCTGCAACACTTAGAGAAACCCATAGCAGCTAAGACATTCCAGCACCATGTCAAAAATAAAGCAAGCCCACTACTTCTAGCAGCTTGATGAAATCAAACTCATAGGCCTGCTGGAAATAAGACGTCTAAGATCCAATACCTTAGAAGAAAGCCCAGCCCAGTGTCTAATAAAATATCTAGCATCATGTTCAACCATTGTCAAAGCTTCATTACATAACTAAATAGAGGCCATCGCAAAAACCAAAGGAAATCCATGTGTGCAGGAGCAATACTCACTAGGTAAACATCTCATCCATTCACCTTTTCTTTGCAAGCTCTAAGTAGAAAACCAAGAAGAAAAGTAGGTGGCGCCTCATTCATATGAGGAAGTCCAGCTATATTAGGATCTTGGAATCCCAAAGAGCTTGGGGCCTATGCACTTATGCTGGGGAAATTTCACCAAAAAAGAGTGAATGGAAGAAAGTGAAGGAAAAGGGAGAGGGAGTCTTGATAAAATTAAAGGTCCCAGCACTTATAAAAAGAGGGCTTCTTCTGCCCAGAAAAATCGATCATCCAGAGCGTGACCAAGCTTTTGTCAAGCAACTGGGAATTTACTTAGGGCACCCTATCCCCTACTTCCATCTCTTCTTCTCTTCTTTAGGCAGAAATCCTCCT